CGATTCCGGTTCACCTAACAACAAAAACACACTCTACTCCTTAATTCAATAAACATTTACTAAGCACCTGTGTTAGGTACTTCATAAACAGATTTCCTGCTCTAAAAGAAAAAACATACACCCATTGGAATACTATACAACAGAGAATAATGTGAATCTGCAAAGCACCTCATAACATGGATGATGAACCTGGAGGACATTATGCTGAGTGAAACTAGTCAATCACAGAAGAGCAATATTGTATGAGACCTTTTCTACAAAAAGAAACACTCTGATGGTTTCCAGGTGTGGGTGGCAGGAAAAAGCAATTCACTGGCTAGAGAGTAGACACATGTTGGCTTGGGTGATTGGGGGGGGGGTGCAGTATACAAGTAGGGAGAGGGCAATGTACAGGAAGACAAGAGGGTGGCAGGAAGGTGGCAGAAGAATGATGAAGACAGGTGAAGACACAGGGAGGTATGAATGGGCTAAAAGGGACAGATGTAAATATATATACACAACCTTGGAACAACAGTGTTCCGTGTGTAGATACATGGATTGAGACATAGGCTGAATGGGTAAGGGCAGATATGTATATATACATATACATATCTATACACACAAGTGGCATATACATATGTGACACTATGGGTTAAATGCACTGGACTAGAAAGTTGTTTTGAACTGCAACGTTGGCGGTTCAACCTCATCAGCTGCTTTTCAGAAACAGGGTGACTATGGGTCGGGTTCAAGTCAATGGCACTTAACAACAACAATATATACATATATATATATCCCATAAATAAATAAGACTTTGAAAGAGGATATGTGTACATGAGTATTACCTTTCCAGCAAATACAACTATGAATGTGGTCAAGAATACAGCAAGCAAATGATGAAAACTTCCTACATACTATCAAACATCTTAGGTATTATCAAATATCTTAAGGCAATGAGTTAATGGAGGCCTGAGGGCTCAGGACCATAGTCTCAGGGGATACCCTGGTCAACTGGCATAAAAGAGTCTGCAAAGACAATATTCTACACCTTATTTTAGTTAGTAGCACCTGGGATCTTGAAAGCTCATGAGCGGCCATCTGAGGTACAGCTATTGATCTCTCCATGTGCGGAAGAAAGAAGAGTGATTAAGAACTGAAGAGGCTTTGAATCAATTAGTCCAACAGACTAATGGAACATATGAACATCAGTCTCTATGACTGAGATCAGAAGACCTAGATGGTGTCCAGCTACCACTACCAACTGTTCTGAAAGGGACCACATTAGAAGGTCCTGGATAGAGTAGA